GGATCAGGTTGTTGATTTATTATATAATTATTGTTGCACTTATTTATAATACAATTTATATTGCAATTTTCACTTTATCCTCTCAAAACAGTCCTAAGAACGTTCAGATTGCGCTACTTCACAGGGGAATTCGCCCCCGGGACCCCGCCGGAGTCATACGTAATTCGCATAACGGCTCCCCCCTCCCCTTTCAAAATCCTGGCTACGTCCCTGTATGGGAATAAGACAATTTTTGTAGTTTTACTGCGAAAATGATATATTGTTCAAAATTCAATTAAGTTGCTTATTCCTCCATGAATAAATAAAGTTGGAGAAACATGAATATATAGGCCTATTTATAATACAATATGCTATATTATCTTGTTTTTTGTGAAGAAAGAGTGGAGGGGCACAATGTCGTTGAATGTGGCTGGATTTACAGGGGTCCAGAGGTAGCCTAATGATGATGATGATGATGATGATGATGATCCTGTTTTGTGTGTGTTATTTAAAAAAAATAAACAATAAAAAAAGCTTTGCAATTAGATCAGTATTGGCTTATTTTATGCATTCTCGACTGGATACATTTTTTACGTCTGCCCATCTCATAAGCGACGTAAAGCGCTTGTAATTAATCGTTCGTATTCACAATTTGCATTAATTCGATTTATTTATCATATAACATTTACCTTTATGGTAAATTTAGTATTTTTAATGCCTAATAATATCATGGGTTTGTTTTTATTGTGCGCTATATGGCTACATTATTGCTTTTACGTTTAAATATAACAATGTTTCATTTACATTGTGCTATAATATTATGTAGTCATTGGAGTTTTAATGTTGACATATGCAGTGAAAAATCCGAAACATTGCGTGATTGAAAGTGGCACGTTACTTTCTTTAGCGAACCCGTCGCCCGCCAATAAAGATGATGTCGAATAAAAATAAAATTTTTGGCCAATTAGCACACCCGCCACCATGAAAGAAAAAATGAAATTTCAGAAAAACAGAACTTTTCGTTTATTTTTATTACACCCGCCGATATCTCGATTAAATCACCCTTTTAATTTCGATTTTTATTTTTTTTTTCTTTTTTTTACACTTTCCAAAAGTGAGGACTACATAAGTTTCTGTCCGGGCAGCATCACTAGTGGTTCTCTTACTTACGCTAGGTTTTTCATGAAAACAAACAGTAAATTGAAGACAAACAGCACATTGCAGACTAATGAATTTTATTGACACACAGTGGTGTTCTTCACGTAAATGTCTAAAAACAACCTGGACTCTCTTCTATACTAAAGTCCGTTGCTGAACAAACTACTAGACCACAGGTCAAGCACTATGACCATCTTGTTTGATGGATACCCCAGCTACACAAATCTATAACATTAATCATTGCCTGCCTCAGTTTCTACACATGATGTCAGTGGCGTATCTAGGGGGATGCGCGTTCGGGGCACACACCCTTCCAAAAATTACTCGCGCCCCCCACCCCCACCCAAAAAAAATCATGGTCAAGTAGTTAAAAATCACCTAAAATCATCTTATTTTGCGAGTTAGCGCCCCTCAACTGATCTACCTGTCTCTTATACACATCTAGATGTGTATAAGAGACTCCACTTTACCTTCGCGCCCTCCCATCAGCACAGTTTGGCAGGTGTTCATCCCGTCTGGCTAAATTAGTTCCTCCATTCAAGATACTTGAGCAAGAAACTTGGCTCTTCACCCAGTTTCACCAGTAGTATGCAAAAAAATCTTTTCTCCCATTCAAATTTGGAACTCAGTCTATGTGAACATTATCCTCAATTATTTGATCTTGTTTACTTTTGGAGGAGTATTATTTACTTCTCTAGCTCCATTGAGCTTTTCGTAGCCCTTCTGGCCTTTGACTTAATTGAGTGAATTTTTAGGTTTTTGGGCAAATCCTCATAAAAAAATTACTCATAGTTCAAAGGTTAATATATTCATATTGCCTCAACTTGTTATTAAGTATGTTAACAAAAACTAACCTCATGCTGTAGTTCAAAGGTTAATATATTCATATCTCCTCAACTTGTCATTAAGTATGTTTAAAAAATAACTATTCTCATAGTTCAAAGGTTAATATATACACTATCATATCTCCTCAACTTGTCATCAAATATCTTTTAAAAAACTACCCTCATAGTTCAAAGGTTTATGCATTCATATCTCCTCAACTAGTCATCAAATATGTTTTAAAAAACTACCCTTGTAGTTCAAAGGTTAAGGCACTCATATTTCCTTAACTTCTCATCAAGTATGTGATGAGGAAACTGACACTGATCTTGAAGCCACTTGGCTGCTCTTAAAATATCCTTATCCGAGAAACATGATCCAATGAGCTGCAGACCAATCGGTAGGTCATTCGAGGTCAAACATACTGGCACAGAGATTGCAGGAAGTCCTTAGAGAAAAATAATAGGCTTGCTTGATTTTATTTGGTTAAGGGCTGGATTTTTTATAATATTTTTTTTTCTATGAAAACTTACCTGCCAAGTTGACCGGTAATGTGATATTATCAGTCATCATAGTTTTACCGGTCTGAGCATTTTCGCAGTATTTTTTGTAAGTAATCGCAGTAGAATCAGTAGTTGGTGCCAGAAGAATGTCGATACCACTTGTGAACGCATTCTCATAATCATTGGAAATTAAACGGCGCACCTTCATTGCTTGCTCAAAATACTTTTCATAGTTACTGTAAGAAAAAAGGAAGTTATAATAGAGAGATTTTAAAAGACAAATAAAGAAACCAAAAAAAAACAGTCAAAGTTATTCTGGGCTTGGGATATTTCATTGCTACTGTACCAGACATGAAATCCTAACACTAACATCTCATGCAAGCCTGTGTCTAAAATATAGAGCATAAGACCAAACCAATATGATGTTCACTGGTAGTTAAGGCTTAGGCGGATACCGCAATATCCTTTAAATATCATTACGTATTCGGATTGAATGCAAAGAATAAAAACAATATTAAATAAATATCAATGACCAGTGGCCGCGCCAAATATTTCCCGACAGGGCTCTTAAAGGTGGCACCTAATATTTTCTGACTAGGGCACTAAGTGGCGAAGCCAAATATTTATATATATACTGTATATGTATAGGCCTTACTCTTTTAAAAGAAAGTAGTTGCCATTAAGGATACGCCCTCTAGCAATGCCATGGAAACCCTCATGTCTAGTCTCAGCGTATAGTTCCTCGGTGGAATCTCCTATCTTACTTCGATGACCTACCGGATATCAAAATTAATCAAAATGTTATTAGCAACAGTAATAAAATGGTGATGAACAACAACACAGGTTTGACACAATGATAAGGATAGAATTAAGGATGAGGATTTGAAGATAATGAATAATAATAATATAATAATAATAATAATAATAATAATAATAATAATAATAAATTATTTTTTAATACAATAATAATAATCATTAATTATTTTTAATTACAATAATAATAATAATAATAATAATAATAATAATAATAATAATAATAATCTATATTATAATTACACTTACAGTATTTCAAAGCCTGAAATCATAACAGAAAACCAAGGGCCTAAATAAACTACTGGTATGAAAAACTGTAACATAGATCATCGAAGTCCTCATCACACAAAGTGATTTTAATCCATATTTCAGATTAATTTTGGAAAAATAATGAATTTTACAGATGTTTTTCACTGCCACGTGTCTTTTACTGGTGCAAAATGGTGTTCACATATTTCCACATTCTGTTTGTGGTTTTATGGAACACGAAATGAGCAAAATTCAACCATAATTCCTGCGGTTTTATATGGAACGCCAAAAAGGCAAATTTCAAACACAGTCAATTTTCAAGCACACTCAGGTTTCAGGCACATTCGGTTAACAAACACAGAAATTTTCGTCAAGAACAGTCGGTTTTTAGGTTGTCAATGAGTTACAGTAAAACTTTGCTCTAGCTGCCTCTGACCTAAATATGTTATATATGGTAGACCTACCTATATTGCAAATCATGTTAATTTTAATTTTAGTACGAACCAGAAGGTTTCCAAAGAAAATTATGGAGAGAATACAAGATATTTCCTTATACCTGTTAACACTACTGCTGTTTCATCTCATTTCAGTGTTTTCTAAATATTCTTATGTTATGAAAATTGATATGATCTTCTTTTAGTGGTCATATTCTTTTTTTAAATCAAAACTAATCGCGACGTTCACATACTTGAGGATAAGCAAGCGAAGCGAGCGCACCCTCTACTAATAATAATAATAATATTAATAACAAATCTTGGTAATGAGAATAATGAGAATAAATAATGAAAATAATGACTAAAATCGGACTTAAAGGGAAGGGGAATATCTTTTGTTTTATTTTCCCCTTAACGTCATTTTTTAATTGTTCTACAATTTTTCCATTGCCTGAGTCTGAGTCTGAGTTTAATAATGTATTACAATGTATTATTTACATTCAACCGGTATCCTTTTTAATAACTCTTTGAAACCTAAATACTTTTTGTCTTTCAAACTGTACTGTACATCTTTATATGTTAACCAATTTTGAAAGTTTTAAAAATGTACGAGCAACGAATTTCCGTAAAAGGATGCAATAAAGTGAGTCTGAGTTCCCTTTAAGGTAGGTTTTAGTAACATAATAATGACAATAATAATAATAATAATAATAATAATAATAATAATGATAATAATAGTATAATAATATACTGTACTCACCAAATTCTATACCATCATATATCGACATATTCGATGCCACTTCGACATGGCATATTATATCATAACAAGCAACCCCATACTGGTGATTTGGCAAGGAGACTTCCGAAATACGGGCACCTGCCCTTTCAAACATATCCACACACCTGGACCATGCTTCTAAGATATTATCCGTCATGTCTGGCGAATGATATTCCTAACGGTGAAAAAAAGATTACAACTTTATCATAGACAATAATAATCCAAAGGAGCTAAGTCTGTTAAAATGATTGAATTTTCGAATAGCACAACTGAATATTTTAAATGAATAATAGTTTGAACCCTATAATAAAGCATACAGGTCTTCCTCTAATTAAATTCCCCAAAAATGAAAGAACACCTCTAATTAAAGACCATGTTTCTGCAGCCCCAAATGACATCTTTTTGATATTTTTTTTTTCTAGTTTAAAATTAAAGCTGCTACAGAACATGGAAAGAATTGTTCTTTTATTTGAGAGATACCTTTATATTTAATTTACACACAATAAGTATTATTTTGATATTTACTTGAATAAAAATTACATTTAAAAAAACAATTACAAAAATAATGATAATTAATAATAATATTATTAATAATAATACATTTCTTATTAATTATTGTTAATATTATAATAGACTATTTGAATATTACGCTAATAAAGTCAATTAGGTACACACAATAAGTATTTTCTTAATTTTTTGATGATTTTTATATTTATTTGAATAAAACTTACAATTAAAAACCCAACAATAAAATAATAATAATTAATAATAATAATAATAAATTGTTTATATTATAATAGACTATTTGAATATTAGGCTAATACAGCGAGAAGGTCTGTTTCACATGTTTCGTTTGGTAGTATCATTGTCGTATTATATGGTTATTCATTTTAATGTATGTATCTTTAGAGCCTAAAATTCCAGGAAAATAGCTCCTAGGTTTCATTATACAAGGAAATAAATCAGAAGTGTTATAATCATCTTGCACTCAAAGCCAAGACTAGCAATTGCATCTGTTAACACTCTAACACACTAATTACTGTATAGTTTCATTATATCAATTTATAAAATATATACTTAAACTAGAAGGTTGCATTGACAAACAGGGTAATGCTAAAAATCTGGAGAGTTGCCAGATATAATTATTGAGTCAATTTTTTTTTTCTTTTTTCATAATACTGTATGTCTCAATTTTTATATGTAGAAAGAGAGAGGGGCTGCAGGCTCAAATGTTGCCAGAGACGCTATCGGGGTCCCAAGTCTCCCGAAACTTGCGGGAGTCTGCTGAAAATTGGGACGGCCTTCCGCACTCCCGCAAGCACCCAAGAATCTCACGAAAATTAACCCATTTACGCAAATTAATAATTATGCATGTTTTCACTGCTTTATTATCAATTTTCTCACAGAAGTCCGTGCCGATGGGTCATTATGTTCAGAAAAATAATTTTAAATGTATTAAGAAATCTCATTAACCAGATCAGTAGTGGATTCAAGGGAGGGGAAGCTGGCCCGGTCTTCCTAAATATTTTAAAGTTATGATAAAATGGGGTAGAAAAGAAAATATTGTTCAAATTTAAGTCTGGGATGGTCACTTCCAGCCTTCTAGAGGTGCCATAATTATAAATTTTCTTACCTCAAGATTAGGTCTCGCGGAAATTACTCCTTCCAACTTGGGACCCCTGCACTATTTTTTCAAACAACTGAAAATAAGTTACATTCGTTGAAGGGCTATGTTTGACTACATGTTCCTATTTGAGCACTGTTATTATTATTTATCCCCTTAATAGGGGTGTCCCCTAAATAGGGGTGCCCCTATTCAGGGGACACTAACCAAAAACATAAAACTGTCCCCTTAATAGGGGTTTTTGGCATACATTCTTTATAATTTTATTTTTATTGACATAGAATCAGTTACAGTAGAATAAGAACTAATTTATAGCAATAATTTGCAATGCAAATACAATTCATTTATAATAAGACATTTGCAAAATGTAATTAAAACAACAATAGTTAAATATGTTCCTAATATTGTTTCATTATGCAATGTTGATGACCAAATATTCTTTATTAAATATTCTTTTTTTTTAAAATATTGAGCTTTCTATTAAATGATTAAATAATCTTTTCAAATAATCTTTTTTGTTTTCAAAATCGCTTTAATTGGGTTAATTGTTCACTGCGCCTTTAATAATGTTTTTGAATTGGCGCATTATAAATTTCTGCATACTATTATTATTATATTGTTTGAAGGCTTGCATGGCGAAGTTATAATATATATCAATGCTTGCGGTATACCACATAGATAGTTCTGAAAAGAACTGTTGCTGTTGGTTGAGAATATCTATGTCCACGTTTCGACTGAGTTGCTTCAATCGTCATCAGGAGAATAATATCAGATATTATTCTCCTGAAGACGATTGAAGCAACTCAATAGAAACATGGAGATATTCTCAACCAACAACAACAGTTCTTTTCAGAACTATCCCCCTGGTGTAACCGCAAGAATTAATATAATTATTATTATTATTATTTCATATGGTTTGAGTATAGTGTGATTAATGTATGTGAAATATCCTGTCTAAATACTGGTTTATTTACAAGTAACAACAATCACATTAGAGCTTTCTATTAGATGGGTGTAGCATGAATAGAGTAATTGACAAGATTGGTTTACGAAGTAACATGCTGTAGGCCTATACTTATATTCATCCATGCATTAAAGGGCGAAAATTCTGGTTTATTGCTGAAAAGGTGTCAAAATATAAATTTGAATTATTTTTTTCATATTTTTAGAGTGCTGTAGATGTTGTGATACAATTAAAAAAATTAAGTGTCCCCTTATTAGGGGTTATTTGACCATTTGGCACACTCAGAATTGTCCCCATCCCCTTAATAGGGGTGTCCCCTTAATAGGGGTTGGCTATAGTATTAAAAGACATATTTCCCCTCATTTCATGGAAAAGTGTCCTCTTAATAGGGCAGCCCCCTAAATAGGGGTGTTCCCTCAATAGTGGTGTCCCAAATGAGGGGTTCTACTGTATATCAATAGTGAAAAAAATATCAAAAATCAATAAATATAGTCAAAAAATTGCTATTATTAACAATTTTATTTGTACTTCAGACTACCAATTTATTCCCAGCGTTCATAGATAATGAATCATGTCCTTAAATTAATGAACCTATTTATGCTTACATAAACATTGTAGCTTGACTCATGTTCTTAATAATATTTTCTGGCATGCACAATGAATTGTAATTTCCTTTTTTATATACTGTATGAGCATCAACATCCCAAAACCAGCGTACTGTCGCTAAATGTTAAACTGACTAATTAGCATAAGAATGCAACAACAGTATTGTATACTTTAGTACAGAGAAGCAACGTTGGCAATAGTAAGTCAGTGATCCATCAATATGAATATTATAAAAAGGTAATTTTCATTTTTTGTTTCCTGATGCTGGTTTTGAGATGGTAAGCCCCCTATTCTAGACTTGTATACATAACACGGTAATATATTTAGCAAAAATGTTGCTACTATATCTCAGTATGACTTTAAATTTTGAAATTACATATTGAATTACATAACCAAATACAATATATTTATTTCAATGTTGTCTTGCATCAGGAAATTCCATAGTAGTGATGTTTTGCCCTACCTGACATGTTAATATCGCACTGAATACTCAGTATGTTCCCAAATACTTGCAAAAAAAATCTTGCAAATGATACAGGTGGAAATCGAACCTATGACTTCTAGATAACTAGCCTTGTGTCTTAACCACTAGAACACCATGTTTGCAATTAGTGGCTAGCGCAGATGTCCCAAGTTGAAGAACTCCATTTGCAGGAGATTTTGACGGGAACCTTTGGCCGTCTGCATATACAGTACAATGCGCGTCACGTTGCAGCCAATACGCAACTATTTATAATATCAAATACTTGACATTCAATGATCAGAAAACAGTTAAATTGCTAGCTCTTGCTTTCATTTTTATTTACACAATGTAAATTAATACCATAAAATTACATAAATTCTGGAATCTACTACTCTGTACAGTCTGTAGGCCTAATAAGGCCTACACTAGGCCTAATATTATACCTACTAGGCCTAGTAGTCTAATATTATACATTATTCATTTATTTACACTTAGAGGCCTACATCAATATCATTAATTACATCAATTTACACTTTTTTTTTCTGGCATCTGTAAACTATAAACAGTGATGGTACGGATTGAAATAAACTTATTTGTGATTGTTTATGATTGTTTTTTAACATCCCGAGTCATGTTTTTACCTAGTAGGCCTAGGCTTGAGCTGATCTTTGTAATTATGTATTGATATTTTCAAAAATTTACGGGAAGAATTTTTTTCATGCAGTAGAAAAACGTTGGCTTACGGTAGCGCGGTAGATCTTCGCTAAAAGCGGTAGAATACCGCAAGTAGCGGTAGACTTGGGACTTCTGCTAGCGTTGAATCCAATCCCTGCAATTAGCAGTGGGTACTGCAATATGGTATTTCAATATTGATTTGCATCAATGAATTCTATAGGAGTGATGTTCTGCCATCAAATACAAAGGTTTACTAAATACTCTAAGTGGTCTGTACATTAGCAGAAAAATTTAAGATATTCCAGTACAGTATAGACAAAATTCATTAAAAAACAAAACACTTACAAACTGTGCAGTTTATATTAAACTGTGCAGTATTTATTTGTATATTTTTTTTAGTAAAAATAAATCAAGATGATCATACACAACAAGATTTAATATTATTTTTTAACTCTACATGGATGTAGGCTGTTTTTGGTCTGGGGTGGGGGACTTGCATCCCCCTTCCTCTCAGTCTACGCACATGCTCTGAGTCATAATCTCACCTTTGGGATACCAATGTGCAATTCCTTGACAGAAATTTCTTCTGGTAGAGTAATTTGATGAAATGGACTTGGCAGTGTTGTAGAATCCAAGGGGTCATGACCTCCTATAACATCTTTGGAGAAGAGTGAAACATTTCAGTGTCTCCACAGAATAGAATTATAAATTTCAAGGCAATTCTTTTTCCAAGTTGTTTACATGAATTATTGGTCTTTATATAGTTTATTTCCTTAACACTCCATGTAGAAGTAAACAAAGAGGTTTGGCCGGCCCTGAGCCACTAGCAGCCACAGTGCAGTGCCTATAAACATATATCAGACACATGTCCTTTATCCCTTAACCCTCAGGTTATGGTTATTTGGGCTATCGAGTGACCAGACTCCAATTAGAACCTAATACTGCCCTGCCATGACAAAAGGAAGTAATTGACAATTTTTCAAAAACGAGTTTTTTTAGTCACTATCAAAGAACTAATAATTTGGAACATATCGATATATTTGAGTATGTTCAAATCCCACTAATTAACAAGTAATTAGCAACACAAAAAGGAAGTAAGAGACTATAAAAATACGGTAAAAACAACCAGAAAAGGAAGCAGGGGACAAAATCAACATGCTCCCTATTCCTTAATTACTCAAAGCAATGCAAACATCAGTTGCTTCCTTTTGTCATGGTGGGGCAAAATACTGATTGCATACTCCAAAACAACAATTACTAGTAATTATTAATACATTAGTTATTTAGAATAAGATATAAAATTAAAAGAAAAGTGGTGTTTACTTAAAACCACAGCTGTGTCCTCGACATATTTTGTAAGGATTCCGGGACAGTCAAAGGAGTTTACCAAGGGGACAAGGCCATGTCTTGATAACAGTCCATATGTTGGTTTGTAGCCGACAACTCCACAGTGGGCTCCAGGCATTCTCACAGATCCACCCGTGTCTGACCCTAGTGCACTGACCACATGAAAGAAAAAATATAAAATTTTTCACTATTCTAATATAAGTCAATTAATTTCTTTAGTTTACGAGAAACAATTGGGGTTTTAGTGAGGAAAAAAAAGGTTCAAAATTCGCAATGCATATCAACTAATCTGATGTAAATGTTATGTAAAAATAACAAAAAATAAATAACAATAATAAAAATAGTTTTCAAAATGTGAATAATTTCTTTTTTTAGGAAATAGAAAGTTTAATATGCATACGCAAAACAGACACCAGTTGCCACGGCCACAGCACTTCCGCCTGAGCTTCCTCCACTGACAAACCAATCAGAATCTCCAATGCTCTCCACATGACCTGTACTACCATCCGATTGGTTCATCCGCCTAAGTTCTGCTGATTGTTCAAACGGATAACCCCAGGGGTTTCTAACAGGACCATGCACATCGCTATCCGAAAAAGACCTGTGAAAACAGATACAAAAAATTATTGGTTTTATTGAATCCTTAGGACAGAAGCAAGATACAGAAAGAGCTAGTCCACGCCTTGAGACCGTTTCGGTATAAAACGCTATATACAGTAGGCTAAATCTAACTACATTACAACTACATTAAACGTAAATTCATACTACGTTGGCATTACTGGCACATACCCCATTGCAAACTCATCCATATTTAGCTTCCCCATACTGACAGCGCCCTCATCCAACATTCGTTGAACTACAGTGGCTGTATATGGTGGCTTGTAACCTGTTGAAAATTCAAGAAAAATACAAGAATTACTATTGAACATACTCTGAATAGATTTTGCATACACATTTCAAACATATTTATTAGAAAACTATAGTTGCAATTTCTTTAAACTTTGTAATAATTTACAGTTATATTCTACAGAGGAACAGTATTGTAAATTATCAAAGGCTAGACTTGACGTGATCAGGGAAATAAACACCCCTGCCCAACCATGAGTTCCAGTAGCGGATCCTTGAATTTGAAATAGAGGGGGCCCAGGAAGGGACTTACACAAATGAAGGGTACACCCACCTCAGCACCACTGATAATATGGCACCTCTAGATGGCCCGGAAATGGCACTAACAGACTTAAATTTAAAAATAACTTTCTTTTTTTCTCCATTTTTTAAATATTTTTTTTGATAATTCTGAAAAATCAGAGTAGGCATTAGCATCCTCCTGACCTGGGAGGAGAGTGTACTTCTTAAGGGTCCCATCTTGGGTGATAGGTATTAATTTTATTTTTTTAAAAAATAATAAAGTAAATCTCTCTCAATGGCTGTGTATATGTCAACCATTCTCATGGTCAATGACAGCCAAGTGTCTTCAACATGATGCCGGCTAGGGGAACAAGTAACAGTAGATAGCTTTCAATGCATGAAGTCAACCTTAACTTCAACGTTAGTACCCAACATGCAACGCGATAGCTCAGCCCTTCTTGTAAACAAATCGAAATATGCATGTGGAAACCCATTACTAACGTACAAGAAGCAAGTAAAATCCTGAAATTAACATATTCCGCAACGCAAGATGAATAGATTACGATGTCATCTATTAACATTAAGGTTGACGTCATGCGGCGAACACTACCTATTAGATGATTACTCACTGATTACAAAGCCTTCTTCCAGAGCTTCATGCATTTAGTGATATATCATTATAGTCTAGGATTGTTGATAGTAATTGAGATAGTAATTGAGGGGGGGGGGGGGAGAGTAATAATCTCCTCAAGCATAACACTCTTTCTGAAATAAATACTTTACCAAGAAGGGTCTTTGAGGCACAAGTTGTTTCAACACTACTGGTTGAAAAGTTGTCTTTGAAAGCCACTGTTATTCCATCAAGCACTCTGTGTGTTTCACCTGGAAAAAAAAGGAAGTTAAAGTATGACATGAAATTGAATTAATTATTATTACAAGGATCAAGAACTCCAACTCCAAATATGATAAACCTTTTTAATTAATTTAGACATAAAATTATATAAAAAAAACCTAAGTTGATTATAAATTACATAATTTGCATGCATAGGAATGGTAATAAATGTACATGTAAATTGACAAATATAATGTTCTAATTTTTTTAAAATCTGTTTTCTATAATGATTCTTCCTTTTGCCATTCGTACGTTGCTCTACTTCTTGGTCTCTTGGCTCCTATTGCATAATACCATACCTGTACTCTTTTTGTTCTTTTGTAGGCAATAAAAGAGAATAAAGAATATACCTTTGGTGGGGATGACAATTTGGCCAACTCTAACCCCCAAACTTTTATAAATAGGTTGTCAAAAAGTTTAAATATGAAAAAGGCAATAAAAAACCAAGTGCATGGTGGATTTTTGTTTAAATATAACATTAAAAAGACATTAATTAATTTGTATAATCTATAGATATATTTAATTTATTTTTATAATTTATTATTTATTAAATTTGTATAATTTATAGGTAATTTAATTTATTTTTATAATTTATACAGTATGTATTTATAGGTATTTATTTATATTAAAAAGTAATATAATTGAGAAAAAGTGGTATGGCCAAAGCCAGTGCTGCCATTTCCCCCCTCCGATAGCCCTTTTATTACCATATTTTTTCAAGATGAATTAGATTCAAACCTTTTGAAATTCTTTCATCAGTTTTTTCAGCATTGTATTTGGCAGAATCAAACGTTGTTGTAACAAAAAAATTCAATTCATGAAGTTCCTCAGCTCGTTTACGACAGCGATTATAAAGCTCTTTTGCAGAAAGTGTGCCCTCTTTGATTTGTCTTACAATCTATATTGAGAAGGAGATTAAAGAAGAATCATTAGCTAAGTGGCGCAACCTAGTGGCAGGGCTGCCAAGAGGAGAAACTGTAACAGGGCAAGAATTGGGCGCCAAAGGCACAAAAAAAATTTTTTTGGGGGGGGGGGCTGTCAATCTGGAGGGGGCCCATTATTAGGGGTCCCGTGGCATCATTGAGGGACCATGATAGTAATTATTATGGTCTCCCCCCCCCCAGTAAGGGTTTGGGCCCACTTTCCCCATCCCCCTCTCGGTAGCACTGCCTAGTGGCATATCTACAAGGTGCACCCCTCATCAAATTAACATATTGAATAATAAAAAAATTAAATGGTGGACTGTTCCAACTGTATATGAAAAATAATAATGTACAACTACTATCTGATAAAATGGAATCATAAAAAATAGCAGCCCTACATGTTGTTTTTTTGCAAAGTGGTCGAAGCTTACTCGAGTTGTTCTGATAGTTTGAGTGTAAAGGATGCCGTTCTAATTCACAGAGGTACAGAGGACTGTTTGATTACATTACATATCATCAATATTAATGACAAAATAATTGATTGAAGATGCAATTTTGTAACAGTGGCACCTTATCACAGCTCTGAGGTGTGTTCAATACAAAGTAATTACAAACATTAAACAGAAGAGCCTTTGAAAAAAGCAAGATTTGCTGACTCAATTAAAATTTTTTTTAAGTAAGCTAAAACACAATGCTAAAAAAAACTTTGAAAATGGTAAAATGTTGCTTATCTCTTAAAAATGTTGTTTAAAAAGTTATTGAGGTTGAACGGATATACAGAGTATACTTAAAACTTACCAAGTACGAGTAAAATATCAAAAATGTTTATGCTGTAGAGAAAAGAATTACTGTGTACTATCATTACATAATGTCCAAGCAAGTCTAAGAAATTTCTTACAAAAAATGTGTTCCTTATTAAAATCATGTGTATAAATATCCTCATTACCTAAAAATAACATTAAGTTTTGTATTAAAATTACTGGATAAATAATTCAGACCACTACTCATTGCCAACTAGTGGGTTTTGTATTCCATTATAATAGACATTATTTCGAATATTATTGAGAGCAGGACATGAAAAGAGAAAATGTCGCACGTCTTCCTCTTCGCACTGGCATAACGAACAAATGCTATTCAATGAGTCATAATACAGTACTTTGAAACACTTTTGTTTAGTGTATTGTGTATTAGCTCTTTAGATTTTTTCATAGTACAATTGTAACCATTTCTATTGTCCAAATTTATCATACAATGAAAGCAAAAGCAAATTTGGTCCATCTGGTGCTATCCATATGTATTTACCTATTAAAATATTTGATTTTTGCAATATTAAAATGTAATTGTATGTTCGACCATCCTAAATCACTATACAGGGCCTCTTTACATGTGGATTTAGGGCCTTCATTATCACCCTAGCCATCTTGGTTTGAAGCCTTTCAATAGTCAGATTTTCACCAACATTTCCTATCCAGTTAATGGGATAGCAATCGTTTTCCATAGAATATTGCCATAATAATATACTCTTCTATAATTGTCATGTTCATCTAATTGGGATTGAATAAGCCCAATAAATCTTTTACCCTTATTGATTCTGAAATGTGAGCACCATTTAGTAAGAGTGACTGACTTGGTATCCTAGATACTTAATGAATCTACTTCAGCAATAGCTTTCTCACCCAGTTGCCATATTCATTTTGGTCTTTCCTTTTACCATTTATCAGTACATTAGATTTCTCATTTCTACTAATATATTTTTACATATTATTGATTTCTACATACATATTTTGTTTATTATTACAGACTTTGATACTAAACAGTATAGTGAATAAGTACACCAGGAATATGAGATGCTTATAAAACATAATGAGGGTTGGATCTACTAGAATTCAATACTGGTTCTTGAGTAATTATGGATACTTGTGTATGCTGGAAAGATTGAATGTCATGTTTTTTTTTAATACTGCATATCATTTATGCAATAAATTTTAATGAACAACACGAGTCTCATAATATTAAAGCTTATATTATATTCACTGGCTTTATCATGTGACTGACATGACAAAGACAGCATGCACTTAGGATTTACACAATCAAACCTCTGGCATCTGTCCAGACTATCAAATTTTATTTGATAAAAACATGCAACATGCCTATATATGGTCATGATGACATCACATGACCTCATGAATATATGTGGCAAAGACAAGCCAAACCAGTCACACCCGTCACAAATCCTGTTTCAGAGATAATGGCGGCCAAAACATGCTGGAATGTCAACATTTTTGAAATCTATTTTATTAATAATAAATAAATAATAATATTGATATCTAAAGCGCAAACATCACCCCCAAGATTGGTGCTCAAGGCGCAGTAAACTACTCTTTACATATCTATATATCATGCTATGCTGTTATTTTCCCCATTTTCAATGCAAAAAGGATTTGGTGATGGTTCTGCCCGAGAAATGCCTGAAATCATAAACTTTGAAGGCCGATTTCTCAAATATTGTTTTTTAAACAGACGTATGATTAAACTCCTGTGAGTTGTAGCAAAAATTCAAGTTATTGGTATTTTCAGGTACCTGAGAATGCAATCTTTAAATTGGATTTTTCAAGCCTAAGTTACTGGAAAGTGAATGTACAATACTCTTAGAGTCAAGATAAACATGGTTTTGAGTAATTGCCTTCCAAAGTTATTTGTGCATACATTGTTTAATAGAATTAACTATAAAAATAATGTTAAATAAACAATTTCTTGACCATTTCCAGAACTAATACATTTGGAACATGATTAATAAGACATTAAACTGTTGTAGTAAAATAAAAATTGGATTTTTAGGAAATTTTTTGAGCTCTCATATTTTATAGCTCATTATAGGCACATCATGACTATATGGGCATACAGCAATTTGATGGTCTGGGCACTCAGAGCTTTATGGATTCACCAGCCACCAACGAATCTGTCACATGCAAATTCATCATAGGTGATTAAAAATTACAAAATCAAACATAATGATCGTTACTCATTATTATAACAACAAGTAGTAGATAATATTATAAATTTTTGGCTTACTACATTCTTTGATAAATTTTATTATATTCTAATTATATAAATTTGTATATTTTTCTATCTAATTTCAATTTGTAAACAATTCAAATTTAACATAATCTTCTTAGTTTTAAGCAATTCTTTAATTTAATTGTGAATATGTAATTGTTGCTTTATTAGATAATGTTTAAATTTCATTCTTTTCTGGTGAATTGTTTTTTTTATTTCGTTTGAACATATGGTATCGTTCATTATAATTTCAGTCATTTCAGCCTTGTGTTGCTTACTGTTTATGTACATATTTATAGCCGTGAATAAATTAATAAATATATAAATATGGTACATAAAATTACAAGCAAATCTTAGGGTTTTTTTTATTATAAACTGCGACACATATCTTAGACACATACAGTATCTTGGACGTCACACAATACCTAATACAGGCCCAAAACTTTGAGAAAATCTTTCACCCTCACTAAAAAATAAATCCTCTTTTCTAAGTTTTTAATTTGCATATCAACAGTCTCTGATGCCGTATGGTGAATAAATCAACTTAACAATACGTATATAATTTTTTTTTTTTTTTTTTCATTTAATACCTCAATTTTCCTTGTTGTTATTATTATTATTATTAGCACAGTTATTGTTAATTTCATTATTACTTCCTCATTACTCTGCATGAGTGCTGCACTTAATTGTTATGTACCATATCCTTAGGTTTTTATAGGGGGGGGGGGTCAGGCTTAATGTTTGTACACTTATGTGACCCCCTTTCACACTTTCCAACTTGCTTCTACAATACCTGTTATCATTTTCAATATGTAACTGTTTTTTCAAAGTGTGAAGAATCTGAATAAATGAAATGAATATGATTAAGGTATACATATGCTCACTTGTATGAATAAGTAGGCCTATACAAAACCTTCATTTACTGACACTCCATAGTATTTTCATTTATTTTGAAATCAATATTTAAATGATCTACATCTTTAGGTAATTTTCTTAAATTATAAAAATATGAGTTTTGATTGACCTTCTTTATCAGTGCCTGGCTATGAGTTTCATTTTTCTGTAAGTTAAGAATAATTCATAGGAAATTTAATCTCATCAATACTAAATAACTATATTACATATATAATGTACTGTAAGGTTATAAGACTGCACTAGAGTAGAATTAGGAAGAATCGTATAAAATGAAGCCCTAGATATTAATTCATAGTACTAAAGATGCTATTAAATTTATACAGCTTGCGGTATTTGAAAATCAATCAAAACATTAATTTGATCAAATCATTTATAAAATGATGAGACAGATTAGCTAAAGCATTGGATTTTTTCTTAGTTTGATTATTTTTTAACTACGAAAATCATCCAAATGGCCTACAAAGAATATACTTACTTACTAGGTTGGCGACAGCCGTGCCATAAAGAATGGGGTTAATGAATAAGAGCAGTATTAAAAAAAGAAAATTATTACATTAAATTTATATGATGCATCTGTTAATTTTGCAAAAATATATATATATACATATTTCTTGTTTTAATTTTCAATTAAAAATCTATAAATTACAAAGTATGTAATTCAATTTGAAATTCATTGCTTAATTTTAGGTCAGCAAAAGACTGTATGGTAAATATTTAAATAAAAAAAGGTGGTACAGTTAATATTTTATTGTGCTAAATTGTCTACCAGCAGGTCTGCATAATTATAAATCATTTTTATACTACAAATACTTTTACATACCCTTGAAATCTTTTGAGTTGTTTGTATGATATGGTCAGTTACTTTTAAATACCTTATTTATTAAAATAAATGCCCTCCTTTAAATAAAGGCACCACCCCCCCCCACCCCTCTGAATAAACGCCCCATCTAGAGCCTCATTTGGAATAGACGCCTTCCTATTTTTTCCTCGAATAATCTGTTTCTTTCACTTCAATTTAAAAATATTGAATATAATGTTTATATTTTTTTAACGAAATACCTACTAAAAATTAAAACCAAAAGACATAACATAAATCATTTTTCTGTGATTAAATAATTGAATATCCCATTTAATTTTATTTTACAGAATAAAATAATCATAGCAGTAGGTATAACCAATCAAAGTAAAAAAAAAATCATATAAAAAATTAATACAAAAGTTAAGTTTTAATACAATGATTTGCGATAGGCGAAGCCTTTCACGTGAAGGATACATCCATCATAGATGGTCATCCATCATGCACTATCATAAGCTTTAAAAAAACAATTTTTTTTGCCCAAGCCCAGCCTATCGGAAAAAAATCTACAGTATTTAAGTGCATATATGTGCTTCAAAACGCATGTATAAAATGAGTGTCTTGCAAATTTGTGAGATAATTGATAACTGTGAGTGAATAAAATTGTGAAATGGCCATGTATTCTTGTCGCAAAAATAAATGCAGAGAAATCGATGATGTCGTGCGTTTGAGAAAACAACATTAATATCTTTAGGAATAAAATTTTTTCTTAGTTTGATTATTTTTTAACTACGAAAATCATCCAAATGGCCTACAAAGAATATACTTACTTACTAGGTTGGCGACAGCCGTGCCATAAAGAATGGGGTTAATGAATAAGAGCAGTATTAAAAAAAGAAAATTATTACATTAAATTTATATGATGCATCTGTTAATTTTGCAAAAATATATATATATACATATTTCTTGTTTTAATTTTCAATTAAAAATCTATAAATTACAAAGTATGTAATTCAATTTGAAATTCATTGCTTAATTTTAGGTCAGCAAAAGACTGTATGGTAAATATTTAAATAATCGGTGCAAAAAGGTGGTACAGTTAATATTTTATTGGGCTAAATTGTCTACCAGCAGGTCTGCATAATTATAAATCATTTTTATACTACAAATACTTTTACATACCCTTGAAATCTTTTGAGTTGTTTGTATGATATGGTCAGTTACTTTTAAATACCTTATTTATTAAAATAAATGCCCTCCTTTAAATAAAGGCACCACCCCCCCCCACCCCTCTGAATAAACGCCCCATCTAGAGCCTCATTTGGAATAGACGCCTTCCTATTTTTTCCTCGAATAATCTGTTTCTTTCACTTCAATTTAAAAATTTTGAATATAATGTTTATATTTTTTTAATGAAATACATACTAAAAATTAAAACCAAAAGACATAACATAAATCATTTTTCTGTGATTAAATAATTGAATATCCCATTTAATTTTATTTTACAGAATAAAATAATCATAGCAGTAGGTACCAATAACCAATCAAAGTAAAAAAAAAATCATATAAAAAATTAATACAAAAGTTAAGTTTTAATACAATGATTTGCGATAGGCGAAGCCTTTCACGTGAAGGATACATCCATCATAGATGGTCATCCATCATGCACTATCATAAGCTTTAAAAAAACAATTTTTTTTGCCCAAGCCTAGCCTATCGGAAAAAAATCTACAGTATTTAAGTGCATATATGTGCTTCAAAACGCATGTATAAAATGAGTGTCTTGCAAATTTGTGAGATAACTGATAACTGTGAGTGAATAAAATTGTGAAATGGCCATGTATTCTTGTCGCAAAAATAAATGCAGAGAAATCGATGATGTCGTGCGTTTGAGAAAACAACATTAATATATCTTTAGGAATAAAAGACAGAGAACAATAGTTGAACATAGTGGCTCTAACATTTTTCTGTAATCAATATTCACGTGACTCAATACGAACCAAGGTTGTGGCACCATACAAAAGATCATATTATCTAAATTGTTAATCAAATTAGCATAAAGTATTCAATTCTTAGCTTACACAGAGGAGTTTTATTAGTAGTCCTATCAATCATAATATTTTGTATTTTCAGACTGACAGTAAATGTAAATGTATTAAACTTCAGAATCTACTATCAATCACTTGTTTCTTCTTGCATTGATTCAAATACAAAGGCTGAATCAAAGACCCGTAGTAGCCAGTGGGGTTTTTATGGTTCTGGCAAACCAGGGGCAGATCCATTTTTTTTAAGCAAGGGGGGTTCAAATTTTTCACAAAATTACCCAAAAGAAAGGAGGGGGGGGGGTCCTTTTGATTGTGGCACCTCTGATGGCCAGAAATGGCACTCTCAGACTTAAATTTAGATATAAAAGTAGACGTTTTATCATTGAGGGGGTTTGTCTGAACCCATTGAACCCTGCCTGGATCCACCACTGCAAACCTACTCTAGCAAACCCCCTCTTTTCTGGCGAACCCCTCCAACTAATGTACATGCAGACCCACCAACCGACGGATTGTTTTACTGCAGACCTTTTTCAGACATAACTGCTTTTATTATAGCATTATTTAGACACAAAATAAGACACAAAAGAGAACCCCCCCACTCCCTTGGAAGAACCTGGCTACGGACCTAAATCCGGAGGTCGCAAAAGTGAATGCAGCGTCGTGTGTCGTTCTACCAAAATCGAAAACTAGGTCCAATCGGAATGTACAGAAGATTTGATCATTCAGATTGACACCGACTTGAAAATAGCACATGCTCAAAATAATAATCATCTATAACTATAAGGATGATTATGAATAATTCATTAGATTTTACCAAATATTCCTACGAAAAAAAAATTGCTCGCCGCCGGGAGCTACTGTATGTAGTGCCCTCTATGTCAGTCCAGCATTGATGGATTTGCAAGAGACATGTCAAAATATAGTAGTAATATTCATTGTTTTGCCATCTATTTAAATTAACAAAACTCGCTTTGAATTAATATATGCATATAAATAGTCTACTAATTTCCGCAATGTATCCTGGTAATGGCGGGTCTCTTGTGTATTGGCCCATCATGCGCTAGGCCAGAGAAAGTAGGGCTAGGCCTAGGTGGTAGGCTTGTCACAAGACAACAGGCCATGATGAATGGGGAAGCTATCGCTCTGGAATTGCCAGAGAAAAGAGGCCTAGTCTAAACCCTAAACTAATTATCGGTATGCAATTAAACTTACTTCTCGTATTGTACGTTTAGACATTGTATCCCATTTATATAGATTTTCTATAACTCGTATGTATGATTAATATTCTAGTGTTCAAATTTCACTCGTGGGTGTCACTTTTTGCTGCACTTCGAATGGCCGCGCACACTCGAGCGTGCAGGTACACTATTCGTAACAAGTTAAACTCGAGCGTGGGTAAAGTAGGCCCTACCATTACCACTACTGAATTTTACTGTATTATTATTCATTTTCATCAACGAATTATTACATAATTTTAAAAAATACAATAATTACATAAATTGAAACAATACAATATATTCACATATGTCAATCAATTATTTGTAAATTTTCCTTTAATTGTTTTGTATTTACTCAGTGGCGGATTCAAGGGTCCCCATCCCCTAAATTTTTTTCAGAATTGTAAAAAATTGAAAAAAAAAATTATTTTCAAATTGTATTAAGTCTGAAAGTGTCATTTCCGGTCATCTAGAGGTGCCATAATCTTAAATTTTATAACCTCAGCCCAAATCATGGTGATGGATAGACCCTCCATCTATCGAAGTCCTTTCCTGGGCCCTTCTATTTCTAAATTCGTTGTTTATGTTATTGGCTCAAAAATGTTATAAATTCAGTTATTTCCACTTGTAGGCCTAATTCTTATTTACAATAACAATATGAATATTTACAATAACAAGGTGTACCGCAAGCATTAATATATATTATTACTTTGCCATGCAAACCTTTAAACAATAATATGAATTATGCATTTTAATGAAAATGAAGAAAAAAATCGTGGATGAGGTAAAGACGCAAAGGCTTCGTTGCGGCCCCGAAAGAACGCTTGCCAAACAAATTATGAAAAACCTGGATTTTGCCATGATGAAACGATAGTATTGTAATGCAATACCGGTACGCTGTTTTATTTTATTTTTTTTAATAAAATTAATATAGAATGGAAACGGTTTTGAAAATAAATTAGATTGTTACATTGCATACTCTTTGTTTCTCGTTGTTCATGGGCGGACCCAGTAGGGGGCACGGGCCCCATTTTACAAACTTCAATGCATATCAGTGCTAATGACTTAATGTGACCCAAGACCACGAAAGGGTTGTAAACTCGCATCACCAGGTTTCGAGAAAAAGGGCTAAATAAACAGTATAACATGTAATTTGAGCAAAATGTGATTATGTCATAAAATTAAAGTATTACCTTTAATCTTACTATTTTATTCTAAACCTTAAAATTTTGTAATTTTATGAAGAAACGTACAGTATATAAATTCACCAACTTTCAAGCCGCCATACTTCGCTTCCAAACAACTTATACACTACACAAAATTCAGGCCTCAAAATAGATAAATTAAAACTATCAGATATAATAATATGTTTATTAGTACTCGTATGCTATGTATGTGATTTCAGAATAAACAAACAGTATAGTTATAAAATAGTAGAATGGTCACATAGCCAGGTATAGACATATTGAGAACAAATGTTCGGTTCTTTGTAGTGAAGTAAATCTAAAACGTGTTCATGAAGTCATTCAAACTCGTTTACAAATCGTTTATGTTTAAAGTGTATATATAAATGAAAGAAATAGCCTTGAATTAATTCAAATAATACTAAACTGTGTCATGACTTGTTGGAAAAGATTTGGACAACAATCCTCTGGCAGTGAAGCGGATCCGGAATTATGTAGATTTCGGTTGAGTACATGCTAAGAACCTATTCGTGGTTATTAAAACTTAAACATATTGACGCCAACAGAACAATCATCTGCTCTATTTTCAGCTATGTGAACTTCAAACGTATTGATGAAGTATTTTACACAACGCCAATCAAATCGTGTACAAAATAGTTAAAAAACTTTTTTTTAAATCAAACAATAACGTGCGTGTCGACATTACAATTGCTTTTGAAATATATTTTCAAAAGTAATTTTCTAGAGCATAGCACCTTGGTACGGACTATCTTTATTGAATGAAGAAAATAACCTTGAAGTAATTCAAAAGATACAAAGCGGTTCATGTCTTGTTTTGAAAAAAAAAATGATCTTCTTGCTGTGAGGCAATTCATGATGATGTATGTCAAAATATTAAAATAATATAAATAATATATACATATATATATATATATATATATAGATTACAAGGCAAAATATATATATATATATATATATACCATTATTATGGAATAATAATATAATTTAATTTTATAATTTAATTTAATAATTTAATTTGGTGTTTAGTATGTGTTTCATACATAATGAAACACATACATGATGGAACCGTTCGAAACAGATTGTTTACCACCTCCCGATGCTACAATGTACCTTGCAACAATAGAAATCCTGATAATTTCACTTATACTTGCTTAATTCTGAAAATGTTGTAGTTTTAAAATGTTTATCAATTTTTAAAAAGAATCCAGACCCCCGTAACCCCACCCCGTCCCTTTTTTATCCACACCCTGACAAAACACTCTGTCCATCAAAACACTTCTTATGTCAACTAAATTCATCAGAACAACGGGAATGCCATTATAAGTACATAGATGCTTTAGCTTTATAAAGGTATAGGGCCTAACCAATTTCCCTTGGGGTATCACTAATTAACCCTCTGGGGTATCGACTTAAAAATAGAAGATCTCTCTTCCCCAACCTATTTCCAGCAAACCGTAGAAAATTTCATCGCAATATCTCAATGGGTACTGTGTTGTTGCTAAGAAGTTTCTTTGACTGCTGCTGTGATTTTTCTTCAATTTCTTCAGTACTTTTGAAGCCCTTTCGCTCAAAACTTCATAGGCCAGTTTATAGAGAATAATTATAATTCAAAATAGCTTAGAGAATAATTCAAAATATCCTAACTCTACACATAATTGTCTGATTAAGGCCATTGACCCCTTATTATAAAGTTAATGATGTGCTCAATTCATTTACACTAAAAACCCATTTTGATAGAGTACGAGTTTAGCACTTTTGTGCTCTTGGGTCACATGAAAAAATTATGGATCTGCCCCTGGTTTTTGTGGGTAAAGCCGACCTTAAGTGTGTACGGTACTAGGAGTAAATTGGGTCAAATGATGAAAGGTTCGCCACCGCAGTTTAAGACGCGCAACGTCAGTCCATGAGTGCAGTTTTATTTAAAATTTTTGGTTTTTGAAGTTGATTTCGGCATTCCAAAAAAAAAAAAAATAAAAAAAAATAATAATAATAATAATAATAATAATAACAATAACAATAACAATAACAATAACAATAACAATAACAATAACAATAACAATAATAATAATAATAATAATAGTAATAATTTGCGATTTGTATAGCGCCTCCCGTTAGACCAACCTCGAGGCGCTTCACAACAACGGAAGGAAACGGACAAGAGAATAAAAAAAAACCATGAACCTAGACTAACAAAGAAAAAAGAAAACGCCTAAACGAACCAAACCAACACCGCACCGTTTATCGGCAATTTAAGGCGTAAAGCCTGCCGATGCATGACTCACAGGCGCTCAAGTGATGGCGGTGTCTAGCTAAGCAGTTAAAAGAAGTCATATTGCGGTAGCTTGATGCCTATCAAAAAAAATCACAAAAAAATCGTCAAATATCCGGCTTCGCCCTCTTGACCTCCACCGCATCCACTGGATAAAAACTTTATTTTATTTTATTCTATTTTTACTTTTATTTTATTTTATTCTATTTTACTTGCCAATTAATGTACAGTAAGTTGTAAGCTCTAGGTCTACAATTAGGCTGCCCACTCCAATACAAGTCCATTTCTTTCATAGCACTGATCGTTAAAATATTGATAATAATTAAAAAGTAACAAAAGTAAATAATAGGTTGCTCTTTAGTGTGATTTTAAAATAACAAAATATAATAAATATATATGCCTTCCAAAGGTTATAATAATTAACGAATAGGCCTACGTAGGGCCTGTTCGCCCTGTGATTGTTTTTTTTTTTTTTTTTGGGGGGGGGGGGTTCTTTTAAATAACATACATCGTGACAATCAAAATTTAAAAAAAAAATCTCAACAGTACATCGCGCATTTGCCTTAGGTTGAGGTAGGTGACAGAGAGATCGCAATCACTGTATTTAAATATTATTTTTTCTCTCACCCAACCCTTCGCCATCATGGCGAACGGTGCGAATGTCTGGTGGATCTGCGCCTGATGATGATGATTATGAAAATGATGCCATTGATGATAATGATGAAATGTAATGGTTTGTCAGTATTTGTTTCCCTTCTGGCAAGAAAAAAAATATCGCATGAGTATATTTAATTTATATTTAATTAATAAAAGTTAAAATAAACACAATAGCGCCACCAATTATATTTATAGTAACTGCTATGCTTGTTTCAGCCGTTTTGAGGGAATTTACAAGACGAAAAATCAATACAACCATAGAGTTATAATAAGAATACAGGAGGAATACGACGGCGTAATGAGGACATTTAGGCTGCTTGGAGTCTAGAACCTGGTGGTAATGGCCGATCGCTTCAATTTTTAGTCACCGCATTGTACTTGCAATAAGTCATTATGCCTCGAATACAAATAAAGGGAGGAGTTTGGAGAAACACTGAGGTATTACAATATCATTGTTTTTTTAAATTATTATTATTAATTGTAATGTAAGCTCGTTTTATAGTAGAAGGAGCCCTAGCTTAACCTCACTTCACTAGGCTAGGCCCTAGGCCTAGTTAGGCCTAGGCATAGCTAGCCTAGTACTTTGTAGGCCAGCCAGCCCGATGACACTCACTGGTACCTTCCCATTCAACCGCATTGGGAGGGTGGTCTGACCCTAATTTCACTGAAACCTTAGCTTGGCTGGGTATATGCCTATCTGGTCTACGTTAGTCATCTGTAAATCATTAAAACAAATTTTTGTATTTAGATCTGTGACATTTTGAAAGTTGATATTAAATTTAAACTCTTCTTGTGGCTCATCCTAAACTAAATAACTTAGACTAGTGATCAATCACTGTTAACTTTTATTTTTAATTTTTCAAGATTGTTATGCCTACAGTACCCGGCGCTAATGCACTTTTGCACCTAAGGCCCCGTAAAAAAAAATTGTTAGTTTATCACCCTATCCCAGCAAAAAAACTGATGAGGGAGGGAGGTTTTTTTTTTTTTTTTTTTTTTTTTTTTTTCCCCAACTGTCCTATCGGCGTTCGCTGATGCATTTGGTTGAGGACAAACACATAAAAAATCACAAGAAGGGACTCAAATTTACAAAGAAAACATGTTTTTATTGTCCAGTAACATTTTGCTAAAATACAGTACAGTTTCTAAATATGAAAAAGTGAGAATTCATAAATACATCTGGCAAGATAAAGTATATAGAAAATAAATAAAATTATTGACCCTCTTTTTACATCTTCCTGTCATTGCAAGTGCATAACTTTGGTAAGTTTATTATTGCAATATGTATTTTGAAAGAATGAAGGAAAATACATATATTGAACTTGAATGGATGTGTCTACCTTCTTCGTGGGACCAAATTTTGCAACAACCTGTGAAAAAAATTACAAAAAAGTGAGAAAAAAAACCCATTTTATATGTTTTGAAGAGCTATAGAACTGATGTAAAAACAAATGTATGTCATGACTGGATGACAAAAACAAACTTAGGCCCCCTAAGTAGGGCTAGGCCCTAGGCATAGATCCTGCTGGGTTAGGCCTAGGCCTAATCTAGGCCCCTCTACTCTAGGAAGCCAGGCTAGCCTACTGTAGGCCTACTTTGCTTGATACGTTTTGATAGTCTTGCTTCTCAAAGGACAAATAGTTTTAAATTATACCTCAACATTTACAAATCTTATTAGGTCTATACCAAACTGATTTTCTTAACATGTGTAGGCCCGTGCGACCGTTTCCAGGCCAGGTAGGAGACGGGGCCTAGCTAGACCGCCCGCCGCACTGCCACCGACCCATTCAAATACACTAGCCTAGACCTACTAGTTAGGCCTGCCTGACAAGGGTGATTCATGACAAGCACAGCTAGCAATACGTTCCGTCGTAAAATCTTTTATGTTTCCTCCTTCTCCAATTTCGCCCGATTTTAAAGCATCAAACAATTCATAGTATAACGGATATTTTTTGCGAATCAGCCCTTCAAAACATGTATTCCTCTATTTATTTGCATTACATTTAGGAAAAAGGAGAAAGATCGCCTGTGAAGTAATCTTTAGCCTTTTCAAGTGAAAAATGACGAAAAAACAATCGTTTAAAATGAAAAAAAATGTTAAAAAAAAAAAAAAAAAATCGGGATTTCCCCAAAAGTGATGCGCGCAAGGGTGATAAACTAATAAAAAAATTTATGGGGCCTAACTTTTAATTCCCTAGGCCCTATTTTTCGATCTGTGTACGCATTTGGATCATTACTAATTTTTGAAGTAATTATTGTACATGTGAATTTCATGTGAACACACATAGTCAAACAACAGCACCATACAATATAAATAATGACATACAATACGGCAAATAGATAAGTTTTCATAAACGTTCAAAAAGCTCCACGCTGCAAACTCATACATTCTGGCAATTTCTTAATGATTGCAAAATGGCAGCCGCTCGTCGTGCTAGGGAACACAGATTCGCTGTACTTATTTGTGGGCTTATTTGTTGAAAAAGGTACTTTGTGAGTGGTTAAATCAGGTGAAAATATTTGTTAATTATATGTTGTGACTGTGAGAAGAACGTTGAGGTAAAAAAATTAAGAATTAAAAGTTAGGTGCGAAAGTGCATTAGTGCCCGGTACCCTTCTTAGGCCTATCATTTATTTTACTATTAACATTGAACTATCCCAACATTGAATTCTCTACCCTAGCACTAAAACTGCAACAGTGGGTCTACTTTCATAGCATTTAATGAATAACATAGACTTAAATAAAATAAGGCCGATTTCCACACTGGTTTTGCTGAAAATTAGGCCTTAGTCCCTACTAATACTATTTCTAAATATATAAGGACTCAGAAAATCTATTACATGGTTCTCGTCAACCGCCTGCTCAGGATATTAGGCCCCATATAAAAGAAATTAATCTTTCACCTTTGTGTCTTTTATTTAAAAAAAAAAATACTGAGGTGCAGGTAAATAGGCGAAAAGTACAGCTGACGATATTCTTGATCATGAAAATCTCGCACTCGCCTAATTGTGAAAGGCACTCAAAGCATTGTGTATGTCACAACATGTTTAATCGATCACAGAGTGTGTATAATTGTCGCGGACCGCCATGTATCCCTATTTTAAATAGACCCGCGACCTTTGACCCATACTCTGATAAAAGATGAAAGTTGACAAAAAATCCCCCACCAATTTTTTGAGAAGTACGGATGAGAACTGAACCATTTAATGTATTTCCAGCAGCCTAACCATGTGTAATGCAGTTATTACAATTTTTTGCACTTATTTACTGGCAATTTTCCGCTAAAATTTGAGGTACAGTAGTTTTTGATGTATTATTAGTACATGGGCAGATGCATTGGGGACTGTGCATTGATAGCCACTCCACAGGCATTTTGTACATCAAAAGACAAATATAAATTGAATAAGGATATATATAAAAAAAATGTTCCTTCATGCCTGACTCCTGTATAACTAATTAATTACAACTTGATAGTTTTTATGCTACCATAATTTAAAGAGCAAAGAGATTATATTTTGCAGGATGAAATCTTAAAAGCAGCTGTAATGAAATATGGCAAAAACCAATGGTCACGAATTGCCTCTTTACTTCACCGGAAATCTGCTAAACAGTGCAAAGCCAGATGGTAAGTTTTAATGTCTGTCAGTGTGACAATTAATTAATTGCATACTTATGATGCAAATGATTTATATGATGGTGATGACAATGATTAGATTAGACCTAACATGTTGTAAGATTTGTGTATAGTATCTATATTTACCTAATATGGCATTGCTAAAATTACTATTATAACAGAGATAATGTATAGAAAGTAATTAAAATCTGACTGAATTTGAAAAATTTTAATCCATCAAATTAGCATTTCTTTCTCTTGGATTAAAACTCTCTTCAAGGTTAAAAATAACCTCATTATAATAAAAAAAAAAATCAAAAATAATATAATAATTTTCATTATTGATTTTTTTTTTCAATATGCCTACTGTAAGTAATGAATAAAACAAATACAACTTTAAAGACTGGTGATGGACATTTTTTTTTTTTAGGTTTGAATGGTTGGATCCAAGTATCAAGAAGACTGAATGGAGCAGAGAAGAAGATGAACGACTTCTGCACATGGCCAAGCTGATGCCAACTCAGTGGAGGACTATCGCCCCAATCATCGGCAGAACAGCAGCCCAGTGTCTAGAACGATATGAAACATTACTGTGAGTAATATTATATTCAGGGTTCAAATTTCCCCACAGCACCGGCAGCAATTGCTGTAGAAATGGCCTTCCACTGATGTTGTAAATCCCAGGCTCAACAGCAAGCTTTTTACTTTTGAGTCACCTGACCCAGCAATGGATTCTACATAATACATTTATAGAATAGGCCTATTCTTAACACGGCCTGTTGCTGTAGAAGAAGAATAATTTGCTGTAGTAAAGCCATAGCCCACAGCAACTATTTGCTGATAGAGCATTTTGAGAAAATTCAAACACTGATATTGTATCCTATTTCTATTATTTATATTTGCTACTCAGCTACTATTTCAATGTAAATCTTATGTTTACAATTAACAATAAAAGAGTGCTGAGTAGCGCTTCAGTTCTTCATATTACGTTGTATATACATATATTTATTTAAGGATTCAAGATTTATATAAATTTTCGTTCAAAAAAGATTGATGCAGGAAATTAAAATTACACTATTTTTTATTTTTATGTATTTATTTGTGAATAAAGATGTAGTAATACTGCTTTTTTAAACAATGTGTCAAAAGGTTTTAACTACACTAACAAAACCTTGTTATCAGTAGTTTTGTGGATAGGAAATCTCATCCGTACAATGTGTCTAACACTTAACAAATAATATATAAGTTTGCTTTATAGTCATACTGAGATTTATTTGAATTAATGATTGAATACAAAATTAAAAATGTGCTATTACAGTGATCAAGCCCAACAAAGAGATGCCGAGGACCCTGACAATGACCCAAGAAAGTTGAAGCCGGGAGAAATTGATCCAAATCCAGAAACTAAACCAGCTCGACCTGACCCAATCGACATGGATGAAGATGGTAAGTAAAAATTACTCTTTCATAACACTGTTGCATTTCAAGATAGGCCTATTGTAGCCTTTTTACCTCATTATTAAAACAATCTAAAATGCCGAACCTCAATTTCGTACATTTTTGGTCGGCCGGGCGTGGCCAACACAGTAATTTTTTTTATTTGGCCTTATCGTATATGCTGTCATTGTCATTGTTTATATGTCAATTCAGAACTTGAAATGCTTTCGGAAGCCAGAGCACGTCTCGCTAACACACAGGGTAAGAAGGCTAAACGCAAGGCACGAGAGAAACAACTAGAGGAGGCTCGTAGATTAGCTGCACTGCAGAAGCGACGAGAACTTCGAGCTGCTGGTATAGAGGTCAAAAAGAAAAGGCGAAAAAAGAGGGGAGTTGACTACAATGCAGAAATTCCGTTTGAAAAAAAGCCAGCGCCGGGATTTTACGATGTCTCTGAGGAAAATGTCGCGGCATTGAACCCGAATTTCAAAAGGTTGCGGCAGCAGGACATGGATGAATCAAGAAGAGACGACGAAGAACAGGTAAATATTTTTTTAAATAATTATTCCTTTTTCTGGCGAAGTTATAATATATTAAATGCTTGCTGTACATCACATAGATAGACGTGTAAAAAAACTTGTTTTGTTGAGAATGTCTCCTGTTTTTGGACTCTCTGCAGATATTATTCTTTTGATAATGATTGAAGCAACTCAATCGAAATGTCGAAACATTCTCAACATAACATCAGTTCTTTTCAGAACTATCTACATGGTGTACCTCAAGCATTTAATATCTTTCTCACAATATAAAAGATTGCTTATTTGGGGAGCATCTAGCCTGTTATTCAGTACCAAAACAAATACAAGTCTCCCTGCTATTAGAGATCACATTTGGGACCTGTGTCTTCATAGTCCATAGCAGCTTTGTTGATTATAAAGATAAAAAGTAGTTTTGGGGTGCACAGATACATTTGGAGGTGTTATTAAATTGCATTGCAGTCTTTAATTAGCGGGAGATTTGTATTAATTGTTTTATGTAAAGAATTTCAATGAAAGAAAGACAATTTTTTTCTTCAAAATCTAACTGTTTTAGCAGAAATTTGAAATTAAAATTGATTTAAAATATGGTGGCATTTTTATACAGTAGTATAAAAATAGTGAGTATTCCATTGTGTATTGTATCTTATACATTTTTTACTTCAGCAAATCTTGCATTTGAGACACACAAACACAAAAAAGCTGAACATCAAAACAAGGCAGATAAAATTAAAAAGAACATTAAAATAGGAGTATTTTGTATTTTTGCCTTTACAGAAAGAGAGAAGGAAGGATAAAATGAAATTGAAGAGAAAAAAGGAGAATGATCTAGCTGCTGCTATTGCAGCAACCAACAAGTAAGTTATTGCTGCTGATGATAATGATACTATTCATATTAAGAATAATAATAATTCTTATACATATTTGTTGCACACAGGTCACAAATAGTTCATAATAAATGAGGGCAATCCCATTAAATTCCATTAATGGTGTCGACATTTTATGACATTTTTATACTGTACACTAATTGTTAGGATACTAGATGTACATTGACAAGTTATAATAGTTTGTATATCCACTCATCCTTGGAGAGTATTATGTTTCATTCAAATAATTATACCTGAATTGTTTTGTATATAAAGTGTAAAAAAAGTAATGGTAATGACAGTTATACTTATGATTGTATTGGAATTTTTTAAGTGCTTTGATTATAAATCACCATATTGAAGAACAACAGAAAGATTACGAATACAAAATTATGTCGTATTTAAATTATTTTGGTTTTGACAGGATGGTGGAACCAGAAAAGAAACGAAGCAAGTTAGTGTTGCCATCGCCACAAATATCAGATCAAGAATTGGAAGAAGTAAGTTCACATAAGATTTTTGTATTTTAATTAGCATCCCCAAAGGAGTGACGCTTAACATGTGTTCTTATTCATGCTGTTGTTTTTGTCACTGTCATTGTTGGTAGTAAATTGAAAGTTTGGCAAGTCAGATTGATTTCAAAATTGGCAGAATGGAAGGTGGTAATAAGAACACAGAGCCTATTGTTTTTGGCATGTGTGTGGATATGCTAATTGCTCATTTGCATAATTAATATTTCACTAATCAGGAAATTTACTATGAATTGAAGTTTGGTAAGTCCATTCGGTTTTAAACTCCTACTTATCGATTCTCAGAGAGAATTCACACCATTGGTAGGCTGTGCTTTTACTTTGCAGTGTAAAAGGAACATTTCTAGTTAATATAGATGTGTTTTGAAAGAAATTTGCAAATTATTTTCATGTGAACCTTGTTGTATACATCAACAATAAATGTATTTTGCATCTTTTTGTATGAAAAAGGTTTGGTGATCATATTTACTACCTTGTTTTCTTACTTTATAGTTTTCAAATGTTGAAACAGCATAATGATATCCCATTTTAATTGTAGGTTGTCAAGCTAGGCCAGGCAAGTGAAGCAGCAAGGCAACTAGCAGAGGAAGGGGGCTTGTCTGGGGGTGCTTCAAAGACCTTGCTATCTGATTATTCAATGACTCCTGGGCCTGGAAATTTAAGAACTCCGAAGACTCCTGCTCAACATGACAATGTGCTGCAGGTTTGTATCTCTTTAGGAGTTATCATCTCCTTTAAATAATTATTACTATGTTTGATTGATTGAGGGTTTTTTCCCAGATTCTTCAGGTATCTCTTAAAGATTTTTTGTCCAAAAAAAAAATCAATTTTTAAAAGAACGTGGCCATTTTGCAGAAACATAAAAGTTGCCAAATTGAACATAGAATTGATTGTACAGGTCTCCCTGTATTTAAAGACACCTCCAATTAAAGATCACATTTCTGTAGTCCCATATGTATATGTATCTGTAGTGTTTTATCTTTGTTATTCTAATTAAGAGATCAACGTTGCTAAAGACACCCGGTCCCAAGAGTGATCTTTAATTGGAGGCAGACCTGTATTTTAAATATCTTAAAAAAAAGTGATAGAAAGTATTTCAATGACTTTTATTATCATCTGTTTGAAACATGCCGAATAAATATATATTCTTCTCTTTTAGCAGAAGTATGACATAGAGTAAATGTTCAAAAACTTTTGTCTTTTCACAGGAAGCACAAAATATTCTGGCTTTACAAAATGTTGATACACCTTTGAAGGGTGGAATCAATACACCTCTTCACGAAAGTGATTTCAGAGGGGTAACTCCACAACGGAGTGCTACACAGACACCCAACACAGCCTTTACTACGCCATTCCGTACACCATCGCATGGTCCTGAAGGTATGCATGTAATTTTAAAGCAATTTTTAGTAGAATGGGAGGGTGCAAGTACTGTGTACATAGTGGAACTTTTTACAGAATGTATTAACGGTTAGACTTACCAAGTATGCGCTAAGTCTTACTATATTAAAATGGTAACGTGTACATAAATCCAATAGTGGACAGTGGTAAGATTAGATTAAGATAGTTATTATTTATTGTTTTATAAGTTTTAAAAAGTGCACATATCCAATTATGGAAGGACCTCTCAGTGTGCTTTTTTTCCCTGGTCATTGGATACGGAATCAATCATGCATAACGTGCAACCGCCTCGGCTCCCTGGGGAGTCTTCCGAGTTGTGCGTGTAATCAGCACTACTAATTTCATTGCGATTCATTCATTCGCCTCCATCCAGGTACCCATTTATAATCCTGGGTGAAGAAAGGTAAGTGCAGATAAAGTGTCTTGCTCCTCACACAAGCAGTGTGAGGAGCATTGGTCTCAAACCCCAGACCTTCCGATTAAAAACCCAGTGCCTCACGCGATGCACCAAGCACTTTGAGTTTTCCTTAATCTTGGTCAAAATAAATTCAATGCGAACACGACTTCACAAGCAAAAGAACCATAACAATTGTAGAAAACCTATTTACACATTTAATGATACAGGTGGAACACCCAGGATGGGAATGACACCAAGAGCTGGAAAGGGATCAGGTCAAACCCCACTACAGACCCCGGTGCGTGATCGTCTCAACATCAACACGGAGGAGTTGTTGGAAGAGATAGAAGATAGTCATTTTTCTAAAAACCATCAGGTAAATTTGCGTTAAATTGTGGAACACCCCTCCTCCCTCTCACCCATACCAACCTATTTTACCTCAAAGTAAGACTTACTGCTTCAGAGACAATTAATGAGCTATTCAAAATTGTAAATATATTTTTCCAAGTTTTTTTTTTTTGGTGGACAGCGTATTTTTACTGAATAACACAATATCTGAATCTTCTACAATGTTAGACCTTTTATTTTTTTCCATCATCGTAATTATTTTTTTCTTTTTTCTGAGGAGTCTAAATATAACAAGCTTTGCTTCCTTGTAAGCTACTTCACTTGATATATTCTTTTCTTTTTAATTTTACTTTTATGTCGGTGCTGCGTTTGTATTTCTTATTGTATCAAGTGGAAACAAATAAATGAAATGATAAATGAAAAATGAAATAAAATTGTTTATTGGAAAAGACAAGCTTAAGTAACACAAAAGTTCACAAAACATGTTTTGCAAATTTAACAACAATATTCATTTTTTTTTACAATAATAAATGAAAAATTTTTTTTTTAAATGCTCATTTTAAATTTTGATATATTTTTTTAGAATCAAATGAAGCAGAGTTTAAGGCAAGGTTTGGCTGGTCTGCCTGCACCAAAGAATGACTTCGAGATTGTTATTCCTGAGAACGAAGATAATAATCAAGACTACTCGATGAACGATCCAAATTTTGTGCCAGACGCTGCAGACGTAGATGCTACACAACAAGCCTTAAGAGCTGAACAACGTAGGTGCAATTTAAACTCAAATGAATTCAGAATTTCATTTTAATATTCATGTAATATTTTTTTTTTGGTTTAAATGATTTTTTCCTGCAATCCATTGATTGATGTATTTTTTTATATTAAAATTATTATTATTATTATTATTATTATTATTATTATTATTATTATTATTATTATTATTATTATTGTTGTTGTTGTTATTATTATTTTATTTTTTTACATGCCTAACATCTAAAATAATAATGTTTTTCAGATGTCAAGGGAAAAGAATATTTGATTTTTTTTGGTAGTAGGTTGGACTCGTTCAATACATTTTTTTTTATTGCTTTTTTTAGGTCAACGGGAATGGAGAAGGCAGTCGCAATCAATCCAGCGGAACCTACCAAGACCATCTGAAATCAATGCTACAATACTACGGCCTAAGGACCTTGATGTTCCATTGACACACATGCAGAGAGTAAGTTGGTCTTATATTCTCAAATTCCAAAATCTATTGGCCAAAGGTAATAATGAGCTTTGGAACCCAAGATGGAAAATGGGCATTCGCTTCCAGGCAGGAGTAAAAAAATCTTTATCATTATCTGATCAAACAATTTCATCTGGTTTCAAAGTCGTGTTATGTAATTGTTATTCTTTTTTTTTAATAAACCAGTATTTACTTAACTTTCGAGGACATTCCTTCTGGCTATCAGCCAGATATCATTTAATGAATTCAGAAATTTCCTTCCGGCCTTGCAGACCCTCAGGAAATTTTTTCAAGCAATAATGATATCTAGCTGTTAGCCAGAAGAAACGCCCTGGAAAGGTAATAAATACTGGTTTATTCAAAAAGAATAACAATTACATAACTCTATCATTAGATAAAAAAAAAAAAATTGTATTGGTCATGCCCGACTAACACAACCTTTTAGTTGTTTTATTTGTGTATTTTCTACTTTTTAGGCGTAAACACATATTTGGTTGTCAAAATAAAAGAAAAGAAAAGTTTTCCTACCGACCGACCCATTTTTTGGATTTTCCCAAAACGTGGCCAACACAAACATTTTTTTTTGTATTGGCTGTATCATTTAATCATTATCAGGCATGCATGGTCATTTAATCATCTTTATCATTATCATTGTATCATTATCAGATTCAAAGGGGGCCCAGCAGGCTTGGGCCCTCTAAATTTTTCAAAATTGTAAAAAATCTAGAAAAATACAAAATTAAATTCAAATTTAAATTTAAACCATTTCCACCCATCTGGAAGTGCCATAACTATAATTTTTCTTACCTCAGCCCCAACCATGGTGGGCTGGAGGTAGATAGACCCTCTATGAACACTCACGAAGAAAGAATGTCATATCACACCTGTACTTAAGAATCTACACTGGTTACCCCTTGAAATGAGAATCGCATACAAAATGGGCTTACTCGTCTATAAAATTCTTAATGACTCTGCCCCCACCTATCTCACTGAAATATCAATCTATGTTCCATCCCGCTCTAACCTGCATTCGGTAAACCAACTCCGTGTAGTTGAACCTAGATCTAGAAACTCCTGGGGTGAGAGATCGTTCATGGTTGCTGCGGCCAGAGTCTGGAATACACTTCCACTCCAGATCAAGGCTTCATCCTCCACATACGAATTTAAAACTAATCTTAAAACCTTCTTATTTGAAACTTACTTTACATAATTTCCTAACTTTTTACACTTACCTTACTTGGGTCAGCGTCGCTGCCTCGGTGGTGCACGGTAGCGGAGCCTGAGGCATAGGCCAAAGGTGGAAACTATTGGAGCCCAGCATACCACCTTGTGTAGAGTATCTGTGAATACATGGCTACATAGAGAGAGTGACGCTGACCCAAGTACGGCTCATGTAATTTAATTGATTCTGGTCCTTAAACTTTATTGTTTCTTTTGTTGGTCATATTTTTGACTTCTTGTGGAGGGGCGCCATGAGCGTTTTCTTTAAACGGATACCGGCGCTTTAAAAGTTTTCATTATTATTATTATTATTTTTATGAAAGTCCACCCTTAGGCTCCTCCATTCAGAATTTTTTGGTTCCACCACTGATCATTAGACAAGACTTGTTTAATACCTTGTTTTACGAACTAATTTTTTTAAAGATCGTCAGAGGAGGGCGGAAAAAAAATAAAATTGATTTTTTTTCATTTAGCAAATAGTTTTGCCAAAAATATCTACATGGAGGAGCAAATAAAAATCAAATGTTATTGGTGAATGTAAACAGTGAAGTAATGGGATGGTTAAATGCTTTAAATTTTCATAATTAGGAAAAAATATACATATCTTATTTTTGGAGATTTTGAGGCAGCGGGTTCACTAAACAAGATAAAAAAAAATATTTTGCTTTACCACTATCATTTTCATTATGATGATTATCATCATAATCTAGCTTTATCATCATTACTAATATCATCGTCACAATAATCATCAAAATTATTGTTATTATTTTAATTATCATTGTTATTATTTTTATCATTACAATAACAATTGTTATATGTTGTAGGCCGAAGAATTGATCAAAGAGGAGATGATTAGTATGCTGCACCATGATGCCCTGAAGCATCCGAGTGCGAACCAAACAGCAGCTGCCTCCTCAAACAGGAAAAGCATCACAGGGGCTAAGATGGGCCAAGCTGTCCACCTTGCATACCTCCAAGCTCGCCCGTACCAGGAGATCGACGAGCAGGAGATGGAAATGGTAAGTCCTCCTCCAAGTACTAAATGTCTAGGATTTAATGTGTCACTTGGTGTGTGGTACAGTTGCTTTACCCCGGTATTCTTAAAACAAACTTTAGTCGTATTTCGAGCTAAAACTTAAAAATTATGTCATTTCGTATTTTTAAAACGAACTTCGACTAGCACTACGACTAAATGACGCGAACCTCGACTAAAATTATACCTCCGCAGGCCGATTTTTTAGTCAGCCTAGGGTCAGGCTGATCGCCGACTTGAAATATTTACCCCACTAAAAACATGTTTTTGTAACTGAAGATAAAGTGAAACGAATAAAAACGATTGTATACGCAGGTTTGATATATCTTTGGATTGTTAAACAAAAGAGACATCAGTTTAGCTTCCAAAAGGAGAAATTAACATGTTTTGCTAGCCACATGCGATAGTTCCTGATTTGCACAAAATCCTCTCGCGTTGCAATCACCTAGCTTAATCATAACAACAACAAAGATGGCTCTGCCCTCGCTCGTGCTCAACTATAATAGTTCTCCAAGAAAGCAAATTTTCAGTGATTCTTTATCGTAATATGTTAACAACTAATATAGTTGTTATTATAGAAAAATAATTAAACAAATTGTTTTTTGAACCAAAGACGGCAGTTTAATATTCATCGACATTACCGGTCTCTAAAATTTCGTCTGCTATTAAATTTAGTCTTTTTCATTGGTTAGTTTGATAGTCGTGGCTTGCCAGTCATCTTTAGATGAACAAAAACTAGGACTTGATTTAGTCGTAGTTAAAACTTCGACTACATTGTTTGTGAATACAAATTGAAGTTGAAGTTGCAACTAGCACTAAATAAAGTTCTAGTTCGAAGTTCGACTAAAGTTTGTTTTAAGAATACGGGCGTTACAGTTGGTTTGTGTGCGGTACAGTTGCTAGACACAGTTGATGTATTTGTCTGTGGTTGTCACTTCGTACACTTATTAAAGTGTTTTTTTAACAGTAAGCAGCGTAAAGAAAGGCATTGCTAGCGATTATCTGTTGTGGTAAATCTTGCATTTCTGTCTAGTCATATTTCATTCCTTTCTCCTGTGTTGTACTAAAGACTTCCCTTTCTATATCATTAACTGTTCAATTCTTCTAAATCAATTTACTTTCATTTAGTTGATAAACATAGGCCGATACGATGAAGAGTGTATATGATTTTCATGCAACATAAGAAAAAAATTAATTTCCTTTTTCTGATATAAACTTCAATACAGGCGAAAGAGCTTCTCAAACAGGAGATGGAAGTGGTCAAGAATGGAATGGGTCATGGTGACTTGACCCTGGATACATATTCCCAGGTATGTCAAAATCCAATGTACTGTATGTCAAATTCCCACGTAACTCATATTCCCAGATATTTTATCCAGGTATGTCATATTCCCAGGTATGTCATATTCCCAGGTATGTCATATTCCCAGATGTGTCATATTCACAGATATGCCATATTCCCAAATATATATGTCTTATTCTGAGATATACCATATTCCCAGGTAAGTCATGATCCCATGTATATCGTATTCCCAAATATGTCTTTTTCCTAGGTATGTCATATTCCCAGATATGTTGTATACCTACTGTAGATATGTCATATTTCTAGGTAAGTCATAATCCCAGGTAAGTCATGTTCCTTGGTATGTCATATTTCCATGTATTGTCATATTAACTAGTATGTCATATTCCCAGGTACAAGTATGTAGTATAATTTTCCAGTTAAAGTAATTGTGTGAAATCATGCATCCTATATACTACCTTAGTTATACTAAAATCACAAAATCAATAAGCAGTGACTATATAAAGCCTTATATTAAGTTCAAAGACACAACAGCTGTTGCAGCTGATAATATCTTCTGATGTAAATTATTGAGTAAATAGATTTTAATGTTTACAGATATTAGCTAAATACTGTAAGCATTCTTCATATACATCACGTTCACTTGTGTGTTTATGTGCCTTGACCTTTGACATCACCCACATGTCATTGTATGCATGACACTCCAAGAGAGCTTAATATTGCTATTGATTGAAAATATAATTAGTTTGTCATAAACTAAAATCAAATGAGGAACTGTGTATGGTTCAATTTGAAAGGTAGTGTATGCGGGATGGCATGGACCGATTGTTCCATTTATTTTGGGGGGATAATTTTATTTTAATAGAGAAACTACTGTAGCAATATTTGATTTATCCAAAAGTATCTTAAACATTGACTAACAACATTACTATGATTTGTGTTACCCATTAAGATTAACCCACTTGTATCATTTTTTTCAATACAATTCTTTTGCAGGTTTGGGAGGAGTGTAACAAACAAGTCTTGTTCCTACCATCTCAGAACAGGTATACAAGGGCTAACCTGGCCAGCAAGAAGGAGAGAATAGAATCTTCAGAGAAGAAGTTGGAGGTAATTTATTAAAATTATTAATATTATTCTTATATATATGCATGTTCAGACAAGATAGAAGTAGCAGTTTACTTGTTGTTGTATTAAGTTACTGTAAGGTTACTACAGATGATTTACTCCTGGGCAGTCTCAGGAGTAAGTGTGTTACTTCCACACGCACATGGAATGTAAGTAGCAGAGTAGCACCATGTAGACGCACTTCAGTGCTCGTAAGTAAATGCGACCTTTATTATAACCACAAATTTTTCCAAAAGATAATTACCTGCAAATGATTGACAAAAATAACCTTTCCTGTGATCTGTAATTCATAACTACATTTACAATTTCAAGGTTTTGTGTGCAAAATAACCGTTTAGCAACAACAAAAGTGGCAATTATAACTTCCAAAAATTTTTCATATTTCCTTCTAAACTTTGAACTACCTTCAAAGGAAAAAGAACGTTGTGCCCTGGGTAAGCATCGTGTGGACACTTGTCTGTGGTAATGCGCACGTAAAATTTAAGTCTGTTATATTTGAATTGAATGCCAGCTAATATAAATGTATACAAGGTATATATATAAATATTGACTGCTCTAGATTCCGGGAATGGTTAAATCTATTGCCCCGAGGTGATGTGGTCTATAGTAGCCTATCAGCCCTCGGGAAAATAGGCTATGATCTCCACCTCTCCGAGGGGCTATATATTTCACCATTCCCCGAATCTAGAGCAGTCAATATTTGTTTCATATACCTCATACATAAATTCTACTAGACCTAAAAAAGAAATGAAAATAGTACACACCAAGTAGGCCTAGGCAATCAAAGGGCCAATCGATTCAGCTACCATCATAAATTACATAGAAACACGGCCTAAAGTTTGCACATTGCACAGCAGGGCAAAAAAGTACTGTATTTTAGGGGAACAGTACTTTCAATTGCCCGTTTCTTAACCAATCAGATGCCTAGAATCTATGTATGAGGTATCCTGATTGTTACTTAATTGATTAAATATGTTTTTATGCATTAGTCTGCTGTATATCATTATCTTCATTTTTCGCTTCGTAATCACAGATCAACCGAAGCTTTATGACCAAAGAGGCAAAAAGAGCAGCCAAGCTGGAAAAGAAATTGAAGATCCTTCTTGGAGGCTACCAATCAAGGGCGCTTGGTCTCATTAAACAGGTCGGAGACGTTTGGGACTCTATTGAACAGACCACCATCGAACTGAAGACATTTGAAGACCTGGAGAAGAATGAAAGCACAGCTCTTCCTCGTAGGCTTGAGGTATGATACAGACATTCATAGATTAATAAATTATTTAGTTGGTGAGATTGTGGATCATTAGTTAAGGTTTTTACCTTCCAATATCAGTGTTTAAGATTCGCCTTTCAGAGTCAAATTGTCGAAAGGTAGTCAGTACATATCATTCAATAGGTGAGGCCAGATATATGTGCTCAACAACACACAAATTTACATTTACAAACACGCACTAAGCCATGTCTTTTTAGGAACGACGGATATTTTGTGAAACTCCGCAACATTATAAAGAGGGAACGATCCATTCCAGGAACGATTTCTGACCAATAAACTCCACACCTTCACACTAAGACTTTATATTGTATCATACAGTAGTTACATATTCCAATCAAAATTTGTTATTTGCTTTTGAATGCAAAGGAATTTACTTTGTATATTTATGTGTTTGCTATTTTTGACTAAATTATTACAATTTTCCCCCAAATTTATGATAATCTGATATAGTTTTTTTTGTTTCTGTTTTTCAGTCCTTGAAAGAAGACACATCACGTCAAACAGAACGTGAAAAAGAACTTCAAAAAAGATATGCTGACTTATCATATGAAAGGGACATCCTGAGCACAAGACTGGAACGCTTCCAGAAATCATAAACTCTAATGTCATAATCAACACACTGAACCAGTATTGATATACACATCTCATATGAATGTGCCTGTAAGCAGGTGCACTGTATATGCAGGTGTCCAATACACACATGTGCACTGTACCTACAAGTGCACATAATGCAGTTACACCACATGTGTGCAAATTGCGGCCTGTGGCCAACAGTGTTTTGTTTTTAGTGGCCCACGAAAACAAATTAAATACCCAAGGTTTGTAGCCCGCCATCCATCTTTGGCAAGAAAACACCTTGTTTTCTCGTTATATTAAAACTAAAAATAAAGTGGTGTACAAGCAGTGCAAGAAGGTATGTTTGGAAGCACACTGGAACCATCAAAATTTGGGTGCGGCCCTCGATGTTAAATCAAAAATTCACTTTGGCCCTCCAACCGATTTTTATGCCCACCCCTGAGTCACATGATGCTTACAGGTGCACTATGCATACAGTTACACGATGCCTATAGCTTCACCTTACTTGCAGATGCACCTGCCAGATGCACCTGCCAGATGCACCAAATTTCCAGGTGCTATAATAAGCAGGTGCTCCCTGTATGCAAGTTCACAATAGATGCAGAGGCACCATACTTGTTCATACAGGTGCAGCATCCATGCATGTGCAGCATCCAAGCTGGTGCACCTTATATGCATATTGATAATTCTGTGGAAACATTTCGTATGCATTTTCGGCGAAACATGTTTCATACGTTTTTGGTCTCTATATTACAAAACGAGTATTTACTGTTCTTGTTTTACATGTACGTGTTAAGTTAAGCGTCCATGTAGTTCTAGTGCAGATCGCATGCCGAAACCTCTCTATTATTATATTAAGTGATGAATTGATATTTTAATAGCAAACCTTCATTAAGACAAATATAAATTCATATGTTGAATGTATTGTGTGACCGCTTGTATAATTTCTCGGACATAAGTATGTTAATAATTTGTATAATGACTATCAAGAGGTGAAAACCTGTTTTATAACGTAGAATTATTTTCTGCCGTTAGAGGGCACAGTTGAGCAATACTGTTGTCAGAGGGCACACTGGTTATATTATTTTTTGGTCTGAGAATGAATGATACAATGTACCGAGTTAATGAAGGTATTATGTGATCCATTTTGTATTATGAATTTAGGAAATAAATTTCAGGAAATGTATGTTTCTCCACTTTTCATTAAACGTTTTTGACATTATTTAATGCGATGACTTTTAATGTAGGCCTATTACTATTTACAGTCTTTTTAAATAGCCTAAAAGTGCATAGGCTACTTTCATTTTGACATCATTTGTTATTGAAGACAAATGAAGAAGTCCTTTTTGAAGTCCAAGGAAAGCTGAATGAAGGTTATAAAAAAAATTGTGCTGATAGGAATGCACTATGAGAAGAAAAATTTTCTTTTACCATCTACCAAGAACAGTCTTTCGAAAACATTGATGCTATTTAAATCTGTCAAGAGAATGTCCGATTTAGGGTACCATTAATGTAATTTTTTTTTTTTAAATATTCATATAATAATATCAATTACATCAATGGTATTTTCACTGATGGTCCATTCATTCTTATAATGCTCCTTCCTTATTAAAGTCTTGTATTTTTCCAATTATTCGAAAAGAAAGCAACACGATTCACAATATCGAATATTACATGTACAGTACTGTCTTGAGTAGAGAAGTGGCTAATCCTTATATTTTCATCCGACACGTTGGCCTGCGTGATGATAACCAATTTTTAGACTTAAAGCTCGGTTTCCATGATGTCGCTCACCCTATCGCCGACAGTTGTCGGGAAGGATGAACCTGGGTTCAACTTTGCCGATTGTATTGCGGACGAATCAGGGTTCATTGCTAGTTTCCCCCACGCAATCTGGAAGGCACCCCGATTCGTCTGCAGCGCAAACGGCAAAGTTGAACCAGGTTCAACATTCCCGACATCTGTCGCCGATAGGGTGAGCAATTCTATGGAATCCGAGCTTTAGTTAGGTAATCCACATATGATAATTTCAAAATATTTTTTTTCAAGTAACTCTATTTTAATCTATTTAATAAATTTAACCATCCGATCTCTATTATTGACTAGTGGCTTATGTTTACATTACATTTACACTAAGCCTTTCATACAACTCTCCATTCCGCTACATTAATTCGCCAGACATTGTAAATGATCTTAAGATGTAGCCTTTATATTTAAGTACAATGCCAGATAGTTTAAATTTCTTGTATCACGGCGGCACTATGTACTTCTGTTGTTGATATTGTATGTTTGGCGTATAATAGCATTTGATGGCTGATCAGGCAATACATTTATTCAATCTTCCAGATGATTTAATAATATGGAATGTTAAATTTAGTTTATCGGCCTACGAGTAGTGTAAAATTGGAAAGTTATGTTATGTGAGGGATGTGAACATTTGATGTTACATATTGCAGTGGTTCCCAACCTGGGGTCGCGGATCTCTTAAGGGTCTGCCAATAATTTGGGGGGGCCCGCGAAGTATGTTGGGTTCCGCTAGATTTGTAGACAAATTTTCATGATTCCATTAATTTTCTTGTCCTACAACAGTGTGATAAACATATTTCTACTGCTCATTAGGTGCCTTATCAATAATGAAATATCTTTGACATAAGCATAAACTTCGTTCACAGCACAGTAAATTGTTTTAAGTGGCATATTTTAAATCCTGGTGATCTGTTAGAATCTTTTATACTTTACTGTTTGTGTAAAGATGTTCAGTATAGGAGGGAGCCACTTGGTAGTGGTAACCTTCGGGTAATCTTGTTTGTTTTGTTTTGTTTGTATTGATTTTACCTGGATATTGAAAAAAAAAAATAGGATGGAGCCCTAACTTTTACAAAATTTAAAATAGATGGGGGATAAAAGAAAATTACATTCAAATTTTAAGTGTGCCATTTCCGGCCATCTAGAATTAGTTAAAAATCACCTAGAATCACCTTATTTTGCGAATTATTACCCCTCAACTGATCATCAAGCC